TTGTGGACAACAGAACTAGCTACAGAATTTTAATAGTGGTCTCACCAGTGCCAAATATAGAAACAAAGTAACTTTGCTATTCTTACCTGACATGCCCCTGTTTATGCATTCAAATATTGAACGTAGCCTTTTAGGTACAGAATTTTCCCCTGCTGTTTGTGTTCAACAGGTTATTTGTTATGATCTTTTTCTGAGTCACTGCTTTCCAGAATAGAGCTCCACGTTGTATGAGTCTTGCCTACATTCTTTGTTTCCATATGTATTTAACAAATAAAACACTTTGTTTACCAACTAATTTAAAATTGCTCTGTATCAATTACCCATCCTTCTCATTTTTTACCACACCCCCAATTTTGGTGTCATTTGCAGTCTTTATCAAATGGGAATTTTATGTTTTCTTTTCCAGATCATTGATAAAAATGTTAAATACTACAAGACCAAGAACAAGTCCCTGTAGAACTCTGTTAGAAACAAACCAATTCAATTATATATTCCTGATTACATTTTGAGATCTATCAATAGGCCATCTTTAATTCATTTGTAACCCTTCTGCCGGGTAGGTCTGGCAGCAACCAGGGCTGGGTTGCTATATCTTGGGGCCCATCTCACACAGCACCGGCTCAAGCCCCCACCCAGTAGCCTGGGAAATTCACACACCCATGGGTGCTTCTGAGAGGCAATGCTTCCCCACTTGCAAGCACAGACTCTGAGTGTAGAAAGAAGCATTTAATGAAACAGAGAAAAGGCGGCCGATGGTGCCACCTCTCTGTACGGTTCTGCTGCAGCCTTTACCACGAACCATGCTCCAACAGCTGTCTTGTTCCACTCCACCCGTGGCTCCGCTGGCCACCTGACAACCACTCTGCTGGTCGCCTGTCGCCGCTCTTACCAGCCGCCCACCAGTCATTCCCACCAGCCACTCCGCTGGCTGCAGTGGGTCTGGCTCCCGGCCAAATCAGTGATTTCAGCTCTTAGTGATTTCAACTCTTAAGCCATCACCTAGACTGGCAAAAGATTCCAGCTTCCACTGGACTAGCAACAAAAAGACTCCTCATGGAGTTTGCTTCAGGTCTGTCCTTATAACAAAAGGGGGAAAGAGGCAGGTTGGGCCAGTCTTACAGCTCACACCTGGCAGGCATGAAGCAGGCTGACTCAAGCCCTTTAGCCCTCTCCTCCCCCGCCCAGCTCCATTCACTCAACTCTGGAAGGGGGGGAGGCTTGTTCCAGTGATGGTGGTGTCTGTCCTGCAAGCACTGGTCTCATGTTTTACAGTTCCCACATTTAGGGGTAGCATGATTTGTGACCCCTCACAACAGCCTCAAATTATTTACAATATATCACATTCCATTCCAGCACTGATCCTCCATCAGCCCTGGCTGAGTTGGATTTACATAACCACACCTCGGATTCCTTCCCCCTCCTGGCATGAGCTGTTTTTACATATCAACAGTTAACAGTTAATTATCTTGCAGTGCTAAACAATTGGAGTGAGCACCCCCACCCCCAGAGCAGCTCCCTTCTTTTAGCTGGCTGATAGCAAGCAGTAGTTCAGCCCCTGCTTACACATTTAACACGTGCCATATTCATTTGATATGTTTTAATACACATATCGTAATTAACACTCCGAATGGATCAGCACCCTGTCATTGGTAAATTGACCTTATAATTCAGAAAGAGGCTCTGAAGCTCAGATGTTTATCCAATGGTAAGCTTTATTTTGGAGTTAGATAAGAAATTTAATAAAACATGTTGCAAAGTTCAGTATATACACAATAGCCATTTAAGAACATTAGCATCTCTACTATATTCAAAAGAAGCATTCTCCTTTTGTGGTAGTGCAATGGCAAGTTTTAATTTCTTAAAGAAGAGAAAAGCAAACAATAAACCCCTACAACTAGCCTTCAAAAACTTGGTTTTATTTTAAAAAAGAGCCAGAAATAAATAATTAACTAAGTATCTGAATATACTAAGTAAATGGAGAGCTTGAATAACAAATTGCAGCTTAGGGAGAATGTGTTTAATTTCATATGCTGTAGAACAGGGAAAGGTTGGTAGTGGTGGTGGATGTAAATGCTTTTGTACAACTTGGACTACACAGAATTCCATGTTTAAAATTGCATTTTTTTACTCTCGCCCTTCCATTTTTTTAAATGAAAAATGTTTACAGAATATTCTATATACGTATTTTAAAATCAAAGCCTTATAGTATTCCATTAAGAAAAAAAAATCAGGCTACAACACCCGCATTCAGAGAAGTAGGACTGAATAGGTGATGTTGTACCCACTTACATGTTAATGCAAGACCGATTGTGATTATACTCCAACAAAGAGATGCAAAGTAGGACAGTTTTACTATAGTTCTTAATGGGCTTTAAAACTGTTCAAATGAAAAAATCCAGTCACATGGCCATTTTCTTCCAGCCACTTCTATTTCTTTGAAAGATAGTCAAGACTGCACTTTTAAAAATTAGAGCATAAAATATATCTTACTATACAAGAGTACTTCTCTCTTGTTATTTTAAAACATAAACTGTAATCCAGGATGAATAAGATACAGATGGTATATATTATAACCACGATGCAGCATACAAATCCCAAAGAATTATAGTTTATGACACCATTAAAGTTAATATGACTCTACACAATTTTGAAAATGTTCTTGGTAGTTGTTCCTAATCACTAGTCATCAAATGGGAATTATATTGAACAAATAGTTTGCAGTCACATTGGAAAATCAGTGAATTTAGACCCATTTTGTATTTAATTTTTTTATTTCAGAAATAATTTTGGACTATATAAACAGAATAAATTCCACAAATGACAACAAAGTAAAAGAGCTGAGCTAAAGAGGAACATTAATGAGCAATTAATATTTTTATGGAAGAGGAGATACAATGTTAAAGTTAACATATGGAAACACAAGAATAATGTGCCAGAAATGGGGGAGTTAGACTTTAAATTTACATTTTATTAAAGTGATTCACAGTAGACAAAAGTATGCAGGGGACTACAGAAATATTGTTATCAACAGTCTGGTTAGCCTTGTATATCATAGAGCTACTGTAATATCAGCAAATGAGTGTGGAATTCTTGACACTTTATTCTCCTATGCTTCATATTTATTAGGCTATAAGTTTTGAAACTGAGGTTATAAATGTTTCCTTTTCCCACTGAAAGATATCCCTTTGTTTTTTATTCAATGGCTATATTGCCATAAAAACAATGAAACAAGCAATATCTGCTATGTATATCTAGGTCTGGGCCATAAAGATGTGGCATGCATTGCAATTTACTTAACTACTCAGCAGGCTACTTTGGGAATTCTTAGGAAAACATTTAATCAAAGAAGAGAGAAGGGGAGGTAAAGCATATGGTGGAAATTCCTGTGCAAAACCAAATGCATGAACAAAGATGAAAAAGTAAAGTCATACTATACTGTATAGCACTTTTAATCCAAAAATCTAGTCCGCCTCAGTGGCATTCCACATGGTACAAGTTTCAAATAAAAGGGGTATTTCCCAGGTATCAGTTTTATCATTTATTGATGCTCAATGAGAAAAATGTTGTATTATCTCTTTTCTCCTCATTTTATGTTTCTCTCTTAGGAATTGTCATATTGGATGGACCAAAGGTCCATGTAGTCCAGTTTGCTTGTTTTGACCATAGCCAGTACCCAAGTCTTTGGAGGAAAGTGCAAGTTCTTTGTGGAAGACAGATACTTGCATCCTATTAGGTCTCATCCTGATCTCTAGTGGTTAATAATAAAGATTGGCGTAAGCACAGGAGCATGCAGTGTAATATCCCTTTCAAATTTGTTATCATCATTAATGACACCATGTAAAACTTTTTAAGTTTTTGAGCTTAATAACATTCTGTGACAATGAGTTCCAGAGTCTAATTTAACTTTGAATGAAAAATTATTTCCTTTTATTGATTTAAAAGAATTCCCACATTTTTGTGCATTCTGAAATAGATTGGGAACTTTGATTCTCTTTATCATCTTTTTACCCTTCATTCTTGTATGTACTTTTATCATGGCCCCCTATTATTTGTCTCCTTCATAAGGTAAGAAAATTCCATTTTCTCATATCTTTGCTCATGTTTTCCCTTATCCTCGATCATTTTCATCTCTCTTATCTGACACACTTTCTCTAATTCTACAATATTCTTTCTGAAATCTAGTGATGAGTATTGCACATGACATTCCAGAGGAAACTTCAGCATTTGTTTATATTATCGTTATAGTTTTGTATTATTCACTATGCTATTCCTTAACCATCATAACATCTTCGCTTTTTTGTAATGACTGGGACACTAGAGGGACATTGGTCCCAGATGCCATGTCTGAGTACCACAAGTGACAAAATGTGACTATACGTGAAAGAAAATGTAGACTCAAATGAAATAAAAATCTCAAATGAGCCAAAATGTTCCAAAGAATCTCTTGGATAGTAATTCCATGCTCCAATAATAAGAATATAGCTGTAGGGATATAGTATCAACCATCTGATCAGGACAGTAGTAGTGACTATGAAATACTGAGGGAGATTAGAAAGGCTATCAAATTAAAAATTATTGATAATATAGTGGGGGATTTCAACTATCCCCATATTGTCTGGATACACGTCACCTCAGGACAGGATGCAGATATTAAATTTCTGGATACCTTAAATGACTGGTTCTGGAACCCACAAGCAGAGTGGAAATTCTTGATTTAGTCTTAAGTGGAGCGCAGGATCTGGTTCAAGAGGTAAATATAACTTGATCACTTGGAAATAGTGACCATAATGTAATAAAATTTAACATTCCTGTGATGGGAAAATCACCTCAGCAGCCCAACACTGTGGCATTTAATTTCAGAGAAGGGAACTACACAAAAATGAGGAAGTTAGTTAAACAGAAATTAAAAGGTACATTGACTAAAGTAAAATCTCTGCAAGCTGCATGGAAATTTCTCAAAGACACCATAATAGAGGCCCAACTTAAATGTATACCCCAAATTAAAAAACACAGTAAGAGAACCAAAAAAGTGTCACTGTGGCTTAACACTGTGGTAGAATAGTATGGGTGCTGGGTATTGTAGGCAGAGGGAGCTGAGCAGCCCAAACAGCCTATGGTGGCCCCTTCCCCAGGCCAGTCTACTACCCACAGGGAATTGGGTTTGGACATGTTGCTTGCCCAGTGCTATGGGGTCCAGAGCCCTGGGGCTGTGAGCACAGTGGCCTTGCCACCCAGGGGTTGTGGCACATCAGGGCTGGGGCCTTGCCTCCCTCCCCCCAGTTGAGAAGTGCTGGGTCATGGGCCACAGTGGGTATGCTTTGAGATCGTGCAAGGCTGAGGGGGTAGAAGAGAAGGCACGAGGGGAGCCAGGCTGCCTGTGATGCCACGTATAAGGGCTGTAGCCATGTAAAAGGACTATAAAAGCTCTGCAGCTCAGTGAGGGATCATTTAGACATATTCTTTGTGAGTATGTCTCTGTGGTTATGTTAAAAACTTGTGGCTGGTTTGTGACATCATACTTGGGCTTGCAAGGCTCAGGACAAGGGGCTGTTTAATGCAGAAACCTGCACTCTAGTACCTTCATAGGTGGAAAGCTTGCCGAGCTCAGCAGCAGCTTAGCCCAAATATCTACCCAAGCCCCTTAACGTGAGTCAGCTGGCAAAGGGAAACTGTGGGTTTTAATTGCAGTTTAGACATACTCTAAGAATGTAAGACAGTAGAGCTAAGGGAGGATGTCATAACATCAGCTCCCAGAGGTGCATCACAGAATACCATTCTTAATGGGTAAATTTTTTAAAATCGTTTAAGTTCCATGTTTGAAGGACATAGGCTCACTTTAGGCACTTTTGAAAATTTTTCTCAGTGCCTCAACCATAAAGATTCTCCTAGACTTCAAAATCTTCATCAGTTGCCTAACACAAAACAGAGAATAACCCACACAAACACTTAAACCACAAATACTTTCTCCCGGCCCTTACATAAAAAACAGTACAAAACCAGGTATAGCAATCACAGTCCAAAATACGTGATTTAGTCCAACTTGGTCATAGCATTACTGAGCTGAAAATGACAGTGATTAGTCACTTAGAACATTAAAGATCTTTCTTCTCTCCTCTTCAGCATTATAGAATGTAGGTGACCTTGGGAAATGTTTCTTTTTGGATGCAACAGTTCTATTTCAAAGAACCTTTAAGCATTTTTATTTGCCATCTGTTTGTTTTTACACTTTTGGACTGAGAAGCCAAGAAGGAGATCATGATGAATGTTTATGCAAACCAGGTAATAAGCACAGTAAAAAAAGGGAAATTTATTTTTGCAATAAGAATTTATTTGGAACTAGCATTATATGCCACAAGCACAGGAGTTGGAGACAATGCACCATATTTTTAAGCTGGTATAAATTTGCATTGCTCAACTGAAATCAAGGGAGTAACAGTAAGTTACACCAGCTGAGCATCTGTAATGTAAATATAGAGGTTCCAGTTGTAGATCTTGAACCTTGAGCAGGTGACATGGCTCAGACAGATTTGAGCACTCAGAATGTGGGATGGTTCTGAGAACATAGTATTTTCAGAGAATCCAGAAGACTGACTGTTGAGTATATTTTGTTACTGCTAGAATTTATTTCTGTTCAAATTTAGCAAAATGCAGGTGAGTAACATGATTTTTCATGAGATGAATGTGAACTGGAGACTGATGCACAATATTATGTGAAATTGGCTACTTTTTAGAAAACAGAGGCATAGAGGAAGATGAAAAAGCTCAAGTGAATGTTTTCCTCCTTCATTCCTCATGAGATGCAGACTTTATTCATATCACAATGTGCCTGATAGCAATATAACTATTGTCTAAAGCTGTTTGTAACCACTAAGTCAATAAAAGCATTTGGCTTGCCCATATGTGATGTTTGTAATACAGGCATGGGAAACCATATTCAAAAATAACACAGCCACAACAGTCATACTACTGGTTGATGTCATTGTCAGAAAGACTCAAATTCCCTGTTGAAAGGCAGGAAAATGGTCAGAGAAAGAACAGAATGTGCCTTTGGCTTTTACCTCTTTAAGGTGTTCTAGGCTCCCAGCTCTTAGAAGCTTTTTATTTTTATTTTTAAATCTAGAATGAGATGCAGAGAATTTGCTGATTTGGGTGGAAACAACTGCTGAGTCTGTAGGACCAATGCTTGGCCTTCTGAGTAGGAGAGTGTTTTTTCTGTCCCTAATCACCTGTCAGCACAGCTGAATTACTACAAGGTGAGAAGTAAGCACTATTCCCCATATCATATCTGTAAAAAATCTGTCTATTAGTCTATTGTTTACACCAAATAAATTTTGTGTATCAGAATACCTCCTGGAATAAAAAGGATTCTGGACAATATTTTAAAGTGCTATGGGATGTAAGGTGCTAATAACCAGTCATTATTATTATTATTATTATCTTTAGTTACACAATTGCAAAATGCTTTTTCCACAGACTTCTGCCACAGTGAACATGTTGGAGGCACAAGAATGCTGAATTAAGATTGGACAAGCAACAACAAAGCTGGGAATTCTTATCTCTTCAGTGTTCAACTTTGCAATGTACTTTTAATATTAGAATATGAATAGACTCCATCATGAGTGAGGATAAATTAAAGGAGAAATTGATTATTTTATTATGAGAAACATCATAAGGGAAGAAATAATACTTGTGAGTTCATTTTTTTTTTACTTTTCCAAGTTGTGCTTTGCTATGTGATATGTGACTATAATGAGCAGTACCGGTGTTTGGAATAAGTAGTAAATTATGTGAGCTTTGTTTTTCATTTGCTGATATTCATGCAAAATGAATAAAACAAGCAAAATGTTTTCCTAACCTCCCCTGTTGAATTTTATATCAAGAATAAGTAGAGAGGAGAAAGCAGACATGAGGGAAAATATTATCACTTCACTGGAAACAAGAGAGGTATCCATTTGTGAATTCTGCTGACACAAATGCACGAGAGAGCTTTATTTAATGAAAGAGCTGTTTTCTCCTTTTACATTATCTGTGGTTTCACTAATCAGTACACAAGCAAGATTGTCATTTTGAAGTTTTTGAAATAAACCTATTAGTAAACAACTGAACCTCTACTGTTATCCCCCCCCCCCAAAAAAAAACCCCAAAATTTTTTTTACTGGGCTATATTCTCCACTTAAAGGGGCACATGAAACTGACATAGGACTAAATTCTTGGTTGTCCCAATGCCTTTAAAAAGGTTTTATAGGGTCTGAATCATGGCAGATTTTGTGTCATTATTTCTAGCATTTCAAGTAGCTAAATTTATCCTCGAGGAAGAGACCTTTTTCTGAGGAAATTGCTAATCCAGAAGGCTCTCAAATTTTTATCTAACTCAGCTCAGATACCAGGCCCAGCCATTCTTATTACAATTCTTTACACAGTTTTCGTCATTGCTTTCAATTAAGAATATTGAAAATCTTATGAAAATTAAGAGAAATAGCAAGTAGACAGCGATAAGGTCTGGGAAACATGACATATGCAAAGATTCTTGAAGGGACTCAATTTATGAAGTCTGGAAGACAAGAGATTAGGAAGAACATAATTACACTATATAAATTAGGGATGTTAAATATCAGTTAATTGAATAGTCAATTAACCTCATGAATTTTTATCGGTTACTCGACATTCTACAAATACATCCCCACTCCCAAGTATCACCCTGCCACTTTGTGCTGTTGCTGTGAACAAGAAGCAGCAGTGTGGGGTGCCAGGCAAGAGCTTATCCATGAGGGGAGCCAGTTTAAAAACCAGCTCCCCTCATGGACCGGCTGCCTGCCACTCTGCGCTGCTACTCTGCGCTGCTACTTCTGATACAGAGGCAGCAGTGCAGGGTAGCAGCAGCTCCTGTCCGGGGTTTGTTTGTGTGTGTGTGTGTGTGTCTGAGCTCCGGAACCCAGCATGAGCTGGAACTGAGCTGGGCTGCCCGCCTTTCTGGCTGTAACTTTAACAGCAGAGCTGCAGCAGGGCTAGGTCCTGGACCCAGTGAAAACTGGGGACTAAGCCGGACTGCTTGCTAGTCTGCTAAAAAAATTTACTGTCAAGGCAGGGAGGGAGAGGGGGAAATGCATGTAGTCATATGATCAGCTTTTATCTATCAGTTAATCGACTACACTATTACATCCCTGATATAAATATCTTCAGAGAAAATCATATAAATGAAAGAACAGGATTATTCACATTGTCTGAAAATGGTAAACAATAAGTAATGGCCTCCAGCTAAAAATTTAAAGATTCAGGTTACTCTTTAGGACCACGGAAACACAATTTACATATTTCTGAGTTCTAATCCTACTTTTAGTACTGATTTCATAGAATGTTCTTGGGTAAATTACTTAAACTCCCACTCCCTTTGATTTGCCTGTCAGTGAAATTCGACAAAACTGCTTGTACTTCATGGGTCCAAGAATTAAACAATGAATGTCTTCAGAGTACTTTGAAGATGGAAAATATTATCTAAATCAGTGTTTCTTAAAGTATGTTCCATGGCACACTGGTGTGCCGCGAGGCAGTTGGAGGTGTGCCGCGAAGAGAACAGAATTCAAAATAGCTGCCCTTAAAGGGAAAAGCCTCCTTTTTTTTGTTTTTGTTTTTGTTTTTGTTTTTTTTCTCAACAACTTTTCCCTGGGGGCTTTTTTTTTCCCTTGGTGTCCCCATAAAAAAAAATATTGTTTGGTGTTCTTTGGTCGTAAAATGTTTAAGAAACACTGATCTAAATGCTCACTATTATTATTAAAAGTAATTGTTAAGGCAAAGATTTCTGAGATAAAACATGGTTGGAAATTATATAGAGGAAATGTCCTGTACTGTTCATATTGTTGGTCTGTACTTCTGTGACAGAAGAGATATGATCTTAAAGTCCACAAGAACTTCCTCAGGATAAATCTCAGAGGGGTAGCCGTGTTAGTCTCTAGGGGTACGTCTATACTTGCTCCCTAGTTTGAACTAGAGATGCAAATGTAGCTGACCAAAATTGCTAATGAAGCAGGGATTTAAATATCCTGCGCTTCATTAGCATAACCTGTGCATTATTCCTCAAAGAGTAGTAACATTAGTTTGAACCAAGGGGTTTGATTCAAACGAATGTGTCCCGGAGCGCACTTCCAGGTTCAAATCAGCTGTTGAGAGGAATAATGCGTGGGCGAGGTTATGCTAATGAAGCATGGGATATTTAAATCCCCGCTTCATTAGCAATTTTGGTCAACTACATTTTCATCCCTAGCTCAAACTAGAGAGCAAGTATAGATGTACCCTAACTGAAAAAACTAAAAACAAACAAAAACAGTGAATGGTACTGCAGCACCTTAGGTATGTGTACACTAGCCCCCTAGTTCGAACTAGGGAGGCTAATGTAGGCATTCGAACTTGCAAATGAAGCCTGGGATTTAAATATCCCGGGATTTATTTGCATGTTTCTGTCCGGTCGCCATTTTTAAATGCCATTAGTCCGGACTAACTGCCCACGGCTACATGTGGCAGTTAAATGGTAAGTTGAACTAACCCTTAGTGATCTCCAGAAGAAGAAAAACAAGAACTCATGTACTCCCAATGCAGATAGAGGTAAGAAATCATTTTCAGGATCTGTGCACAGGTCCTATGTCAGAGAATGATTTGGAAAAATTTTTTTGAAGGAAGGGAATAGAAAGAAACTCTATCAATTGCAAGACATGGGATGCCTTGTCCTATGAGTGAGAGGCCACTACTGCCACACCCAAGAGGAGGAGACAGGAGTGACAGTGGTCAGGGACTCCCTCCTAAGGGGAATGGAGTCATCCATCTGCCATCCAGACCAGGAAACTCAAAGTGTGCTGTCTGTCGGGAGCTAGAATTCAAGATGTGATAGTGTCTGCTGAGACTGATCAAGCCATTACCCCTTCCTACTTCTCCACATGGACACCAATGATACTGCCAAGAATGATCTTGCGCAGGCCACCTCAGCCTAAATGGTTCTGGGAAGAAGGATAAAATAGTTTGAGGTGCAAGTTGCATGAATCCATGCACCGGATGAAGAAAAAGTTGCAGCTAGGGGCCATCAAACTGTGAAGATAAATGCATGGTTGTGCAGATGGTGTCAGAGAGGCTTTGGATTCTCTGAGAATGGGCTGTTGTTCCAGAAAGAAGGATTTCTAGGAACAGATGGGATCTACTTTACTACGTTAGGCCAGAGCATCTTCACTGGCAGGCTTGCTAACCTCATGAGGAGAACTTTAAACTAGGTTCATGAGGTAATGGTAATCAAAGCCCCGAGGTAAGTGGGGACATGAGATGCTGGGAGGAAAAACAAAGAGAAGGGTGTGATGGTACAGAGGGAACAACAGGAGAAGTCTCCTGATTCATACTGAGAAAGTAGGGCAATCAGCTGGTTTTCTTAGGTGTCTGTTCAGGAATGCAAGAAATCTGATAAACAAACAGGAAGAAATGGAATCCTGGCACAATCAAGGAGCTATGATGTTATTGGACTAACTGAGACTTGGTGGGGTAACTCACATGACAGGAGCATTGTCATGGATGGATATAAATTATTTGGGAAGGACAGGTGGGGAAGAAAAGTTGGAGGAGCTGCATTATATGTAAAAAAGCACTATGATTGTTCAGGGATCCAATATGAAACTGGAGAAAAGCCTGTTGAGAATCTTTGGGTTAAGTTTAGGAATGAGAACAACACGGGTGATATCATGGTGGGAGACTGCTATATTCCACCTCACCAGGATGAGGTAGATGAGACCTTCTTTAGACAACTAACAGAAGTTTCCAGATCACAGGCCCTGGTTCTCATGGATGAGTTCAATCATCTTGGCATCTGTTGGGAGAGTAATACAGCAGTATAGGGACAATCCAAGAAGTTTTTGCAGAGTGTTGAGGACAGCTTCTTGGTGCAAGTGATGGATGAAAAAAAAAGGGGTCATGCTTCTCTTGACCTGCAGGTCAGAAACAGGGAAGAAATGGAAGGAGATGTAGCAGTAGGTGCAACCTGGGAAGCAGTGACCAAGAGATGACTGAGTTCAGAATCCTGACTGCAAGAAGAAAGGAGAGCAGCAGAATATGGACTCTGGACTTCAGAAAAACAGACTTTGACTTTCTCAGGGAACTGATGGGCAAGGTTCCCCTGGGAGTCTAATCTGAGGGGGAAAGGAGACCAGGAGCGATGGATGTATTTTAAAGAAGCCTTATTGAGGGCACAGGAACAAACCATCCAAATGTGCAGAATAGCAAATAATATGCAGAATAGCAAATGACCAGCTTGGCTTAACAAAAGAATCTTTGGTGATCTGAAAACACAAAAAGGAAATTTGAATGGATGATTAGGGAGGAATATAAAAACATTGCTAAAGCATGCAGGGTTGTTATCAGGAAGGCCAAAGTGCAATTTGGAGTTGCAGCTAGTGAGGAATTGCAGCTAGCGAGGAATGTGAATAGTAATAATAAGGGTTTCTGTAGGTATGTTAGGAACAAGAAGTTGTTCAGGAAAGGCAACCTAGATAAATGATGTGGAAAAGGCTGAAGTACTCATTGATTTTCTTGCCTCAGTCTTTTCTTGCCTATGTCTACACTACAGAGATTTTCTGGAAAAACAGTCATTTTTCTGAAAAAAAATTCACTTATGTCCACACTGCAATTGCATTCTTTTGAAAAAATAAATCGAAAGAACAGAG